AATTTTGACAACCACCCATCTGGGAATTTGCCTAAGTTGCTGTTCCCAACATGGAAATCTATTCAAGGAATCTTTTTCATGAGTAACCCAGGGGTAAGGAGTCAACCCCCATCTACACAACATCAGCCACGCCCTGTGCATTTCAGCGCAGGTCTGGCAGCTAGCGAAACGTCCGCCCTTCGAGCTGACGGCTCGAGGAGACTCTCCCGGGTAGTAAGAAGGTTACCAATAGCAACAAGTATAACGGTAAAGACCTAATTGCAATGTGCCTCATGCTAAATAATCAAAACCAAAAAATACCAAGAGCAATAATACATAAGCACAATAACCATAGGAATCGGAGGTCAGCCCTGGCTCAGCCCAACTCTGCGAGCGTCGAGAGAGCCCGCAAGGCTGCAAAACAGAAGCCATTGCTTGGCGTGCTCCGTGCTCACAATGGCAACAGTATAGGCGCAAGGACTTCGAAGGTCAATATCTCCAGCCAGCTGGAAAAATCGCAGCACCAATTGCCATTGCCTGGTCAGCGTGACAGCATCCGATCCCCTGCTCTGAAAATTTGTGGAAACACAGCTTATACGAGCACTGACATTGCTGTGTGCAACACCTAAAGTCGTTTGAGCATCCCATGCTTGGGGCTTTCTTTTGATATAAGATGTATGTGTATATGTATGTATATATATATATGCATGTATATGTACATGCAAGCCTATATTACCCCTTTGGAATACCCCATACAAGTGGCTATATGATTCCTGAAATGGCTTGACATCACCCATCCTTGTCCAGCCCTTTTGACGGACTTTGCAGCCAGCACGTGCACAGCACTAACTTCTTAAGGGCTATGCAGGCATTGTGAAGCAGGCATCGGCTGAATGCATGACAGACATTTTTCCGGAGGGGAAATCAAGTTCGCCTGGGGGGTCCATTTTCCACTTGCTGGCCCGGCATAAGCATCAGATTTCTAAAGGTTGTATACATAAGCGGCCCAAGAATCTATTCTGGGCTTGGCAGCTGCTGGCTTTGTTCCTTCTTCGTCCCTTCCTGTTTCTCTGCTTCTTTTCGCTGCAAATCTACGAAGCTAGGCGGTGCGGACAGAACTGTAGCATCAACTCCCCAGCCTGGAACCTGCGCACGAGGTGATGGCGGAGTTGAGGCTGCAGTCGTCCAATTCCAAACGAAAGCTTAAGGAAAGATAAGAAAGTCGCAAGCTATGTCGCCAGCAGCAGGCCTTCTCACACGCAGCGTGCGCAGAATTGTACATGACTTGGCCTTTGTGCTTGTGGCTCATTAGCGCGTGAATTGCCTGCTTCCAATATCCAGACCTGGCGATGGCATCCATGGCCACTGCGTTAGTTCCCGAGTCTGCCACCAACACATTCATGCACATGTCCTTCTGCAACACTCTGGCGAATTCCCATTTAGAACTTGTTGCAGCTGCACTCATGGCTGCATTCGCACAAGCTATATCTGGTGCCACACGCGCTTCGTGCATCCTGCACAACAACTGAATACCCACCTGCCACTTGTATGCTGCATCGCAGGCACTCAACAAGGACGTGTAGCTTATCTGCCCCGGTCTCAACATACATCTGAGAACGAGCAGTGACATTTCCCAAATACCGCGCTGCTGGCAAGTGCTCAACCATGCATTGGCAACAATGTGACTCTCAGCAAGGAAAAACTTGCCGACAGCAAGAGCCTGCAGCCACCTACCAAGAGGTCGGAAAGTTTTCATGACAGTGCTGCAAGCCACAGAACTTCCTTGAACATGCTGGTAGAACAAGTTGGTAGCTGCTTGCCAGGAGGTTGCTTCACTGTGAGCGTTGATAGCTGTACTGAACGTCACCACATCTCCCAAAATCTTGCTTTTCAAGCACAGGCTTAGCACGCGCAGGGCCTGGCACCACTCCTGACGTGGGCAAGCAGCTATGAGAGTGTTGTAGCTGATGAGGTCTGATCTTAGCTGCTTCAGCGTCAAACTGCCCAAAGTCATCTGCGCCTGCTCCCATGAGCCACATTTCCCCTGTGCATTCATCACAGCATTGAAGCTGATCATGTCGGCAAAGCATCCCAGCAGGTCTGTGCAGCTTGGCCATTGAAACTGTTTACAACAAGCAAGAACCGTGCTCCCCACACTGGCTGTAGTCGGTATCAGCCGACAGGCACGTGTCTGGCACAAGGCCCCAAGAGCAGTCTGCCATCGAATAAAATCAAAGGCTGAAAGGACTGGCGACCGATCGCTGCAGCATCCCATCAGTGGGCATGCCCCAGGCTATTTTACAGCCAGGCAGGTATGTTGCAAAGAACTAACTACTCGTGTCTGTAGTCATAAGATTAACAACATTAATGATAGAAGAGATTCTACGAATAAATACTAATAACAACCAAGGATGAGAGGCTATGGCATACTACTTGGTTACAACTTGTCACACAACAAATTCATACCTTGCCAACAACAGAGACATGACCAAGTAGCAGGCCTGCTGATAAGCCAAAATCCTGAAGTTCCGAACTTGCTTTGTTCAGGCCACCTTGAAATCACGAACCTTGCTTACAGAAGATGGTTGCACAGAATTAGGGGATGGCTTTAGCCATTCAATCGGATTTTGCGGCTAGTGTGGAAGCGCAAGAGAAAAACTAGTAGCAGCACAAATGCTTCGAACCCCGTCAGTTTGTACTGATTGGGAAACAA